TTCACTCGATTTATAAAAATTATGTATTAGTCAGTTATGTTATAGACTTATTAAATCTTGGTCACTGGACTGTTAACCTATATTAGCTGTATAATGTGACAGGTTAGTTAAAAAGGGTTTTAATTGGAGTAATACAAAAAATAGCCCGTAACGTTTACTAAAACGGTCATTGTCCCCTATTTGTTTTTTGAAGCACTTTGACCCTCCTAACGTTTCATTTTGAGGTAAAAGACTCAACCATAAATGAAAATTATTAGTTAGCAAATGGTTAACGCTCTAAAATAAAGGTTTTTCACATTGAAATGAAACATTAGGGTTCAAATGCTCCATAATAAAAAAAGGGTCAAAGTGACTTCTTAATCAAATAATAGAAACCTTTTTATCCTAAAATAAAACATTTTGGGCCAAAATATTTCAAAAAATAATAATAAGGGTCAAAATATTAATTATGGTAAACGTTGGGGGGTTAATTTTGGCATTATACCTTTTTAATTTGACCTTTTAACTTTATATACAATACTTTTTTACCCTAAACTTTAGATATAACATCATTTAACCATTAAACTTCATATAAAATATCAATTTCACCCATGAACTTATTCAAAGTTTCCCATCACTAACAGCCACTCACCATCGTCACCATTGGTCGCCATCGATCATCGTCACTATTTGTAACACTTATCATTATTATTTATTTTATTTTTAATTTATTTCCTTTTTCTATTCGAGGGTATTTCCGCTCCATTTAAAAATTATTCAGCCAAAAAAATTTCACCTTTAATCATGAATTCACTATAATTCTTAAGCTCGTGTATGCTCAATGTCGTACCAGTTCTATGGACTAAAATAGATAAAAAAAAAGTTTTATGAGCTAAAGTAATGGAAAAAATTATGAAGTTCAAGGACTAAAACTTCATTTTACAATAAAAACACACAAGATATGTATCTACATATACCTGGATTTACTACAAACAATAGCAAATTAGCAATAAACAATTTTGAAACATCGTTTTGACACCTGATTGACAAGCTCAACTGTGGATGGATCACTGTAATGAGTATCCAATGATGGACACCATTATTACTATATTATTAGCATGCCAAGAGCTAAAGAGGGGGAATTATTGATTGGTATTTTGAATTTTAGAAGTTTGTTTGGGGGTGTCGGAGAATTTTGTGGGTTGTCCTGTTGTTTGGAGCAGAGGGGATTGGATTTCAAAGGGTGCGGGCGGAGTGGACTACGTATCTCGGTTGTTGGGTTGGGCAATGACACCAGGGGGGGCAAGACCTGGCAACTGGTGAGACAGCCATTGTCATTTCAAGCGCCAAAAAAAGTAGGGGTCACATTCATTCACGCACACTCACATGACACCCGTAGACTAAGTGGAAGAATATATAATTGTTATATTCATTCATCTCACAACCATCATAATCTTAGATCTAACACCGACACTAAGAGTTGTTGATTGGTAAACTGATCAACAATCGCGAAAGGTGGTAGAGGGATGGTTTCGTGGCCTTTTGAGATGTCGGTATGGTTCTTATGTGGAGAGGTGTGCTCGTCCCCCTCTGTTCTCCATTGAATGGGTATTTATAATGCACTGGATTGGTGTCAGTTTGGTGTATGTTGTCGTGTCACTAATGATGATTAGACGTCTTAGAGAGTGAAGTCTCGGATTAGGAGATCACATGATCGTTGGTGATATTACAAGGGTGTGTTCACATGGGTCTTACATTCGCATCCCCAAAAGTCCGCATGCGTAGTATATTCACTTATATAGAGGATTGTAGAGATGTGGTCTCTTTTTTTCCTCTTTCATCTTCTTCGACTTAAACCCTTTTCTCCTTAAAAAATTACATTATGAATTAGTGATCCCGATTTTCTACCCAAATCAAAAGGAACGATTGGCCTATGATCATTGTAACACGAAATATTACCATCAATAACAATAATAATTGTGCATTTGACATGTTCATGCAGAAACGATAGTTTGTATAGATAACAAAAGGACGACCAAACATTCGGCTCGTAGCAACACAACAACGGCGTCCGTATAAAATTCACAAGCAATAAAGTTGCATGCGGCTCGTAGCATTAGGCCAAAACGAACTGTGCCGAGCTTCTTCCCCCATCTAAGAACAATCACCACCCTGCATTTTATAACACGTCGGTCCAATTTCACAAGTCCGGTAGGCTGTCAAATGGGGATCCTTTTGGGGGCCTACTCCCTTCCTTTCACGTAGATATGTCATCCTATGTGCACCCATGCCCTATTCGATGAAACTCTTAGATTTTGTTTCTTTGTTTTCATCGTTTATTCATCAATGTCGTCTACGTTACTATTATAGTTTCAAACCACTCCATCGCTTTCATTCTTATCCTTTTACTTATTTTAATAAGAAATGGTATTCCAAGGTTCGAATTCGAGTTTTTTTAACTAATAATTTGATAATAATGCAAGTTTTTTAACGACTTGTTGTTTCGTTTACGTTTACTTGAGGTAAGGGTGAATAGGAAGATGTTTTCGAGTTGGGAAGAACATCGGGTCGTAATACGATGAAAGATTATAGAGGTATCGAAGTTTATGTTTCGAGTTAAAAGAAAGATTCCGACGGAATAGTGGCGGATCTAGAAATTAAAAAATGGGGGTCCAAAATAAATTGTATAATATTCATTAATAAAAAAAACTACATAATCCACAATCACTATAGCAAAATAGAGTTTTAGTGGCGTTTTTTTAGTCCTATAGCGGCGTTTTTAAGCGTCGCTAAAAGAACTTGCGGCGATAGGAAAAACGCCGCAAGAAACGCCGGCGAGACTAGTGCCGCTAAAGTTAGCGGCGTTTGAGAACAAAAAACGCCGCAATAGATCAAGATTTATAGCGGCGTTTTTCCAAAAACGCCGCAAAAGGTCGAGATCTATAGCGGCGTTTTTGGATACAAACGCGTAAAGGTCAGATTTAGTGGTGTTTTTGGATATAAACACCGCAAAAGGACAGATCTATTGTGGCATTTTTGGATACAAACACCGCAAAAGAGTAGATCTATAGCGGCGTTATTGAAAAACGCCGCAAATTACCTTGTCTTTAGTGGTGTTTGTTTTCTAAAACGCCACTACATGTTATGGTATTTAGGGGCGTTTGTGGTAAAAAAAACGCCGCTATTAACTATGTTTATATTGGCGTTTTCTTCACAAAACGCCGCAAAAGAATCTGAATTCTGGTGGCTTTTATTTACAAACGCCGCTATAATTAACTGATTTCGCATATATCATTCTACTTTATATTACGCAAACTTATATTCTATAGCATTATCTAATAACAATAAAAATACAAATTAATTACGAAACAAATGATGCAGAAAAATAAATCAATTTTATAAACTTAAATTAAAATGTAACATAGTTCAACATTTCACTAGAATTTAGTCTAAGTTCTTTCTCTTTCAATTAAAAAGCATTGTTCACTCAAATAAAAACAATTTTCTAATGGAAATTTGTATTGATCTGCAACTTCAGTTGATTCTTTTCATCAGGAATGTCCTTCAATTCAATAACAATGAAACAATAGATTCAGAGACAATATATTACAAGAAGATATTTAATATCCTAAACAAATGAACTAAATCATATAGTACAAAAACCATAAACATTTATTTGCGTCATGAATTTTATCATGAGAAACAGTTTTCCTACTCGAACAGTACTGCAAGTTTGGAAACCGAAACTAGAAACTCTTGTATGGAGAGCGAAGCAGTACCTAGAGTTTTGCATGTCATTTCCTGGTAAGGTGGAAACTGAATGTGATACGAGTTCGAAGAGCAGTTCACCAGTAGGTTCACACTGAAATGAAGCAACCTGTTTCAGTGATAAACTAAATATATATCTCATAAAATTATATTAAGAAGCTAGACAATTCATTATTTTCCCTCATAAATAAGGTTTTTTTTTCTTTAGTAATCCAGAAAAAATTGACACAGTATTTGGTTTGGTAAATAAATTTGACTTTCCGTTTTACTTTGACTGTTCATGGAGTGTGGGTTTTTGAGTCTTGGCAAAAGATAATTTTACAAATATTTTCAGTAAACTCATCATCTAATCATGAAGAACTGAAGTGATATATAAAATAAAATGCAGTGTAGGGAAACAAAGATGATGCAGGCAAGACAAACATGCAATAAGATCAAGAAAATACCCCCATGCATCAACTCAAATATGCATATGATTGAATTTGAGAAATTTTCCTTACCTGTAAATATCTTAGTTTCAATCCATGATTCGTGACACATAACAAGTTAAGCCTACACTAATAGCAATATGAGCCAACATGTAAATATTTCTCTCTACATTATATATATATGTATATATATATATTATCGTAATAGTTGTGAAATCCTAGTGCAGCAAATAATAGTTGTCAGACATACAGACTGCATTTTCTGGACATCATCTTTACTAAGTCTCTCTACACCCAATTTCCTCAAGCTCTATTCCAATACTGAAGCACGAGTATCCCTAGCATTTAGAAATATCATATCATTGGCACCAATTATTCAGGACTCTAGAGAAGCATAAGGAAACCCAAAAAAACTCAAAATCTTTCCAATTAAAAAAGAAGATTCACCATATGTGCAAAACTCTAATAAGAAACGTTTTTCATAAGTTAATTTTATCAAGCCAAGTTCTAGAGTTTCTACAGGGAACTTATGCATAAATTAGTGCAAAGTTAAAAGTGCAGATATATCTGTTATATGTATTGAAAATACCAACATCAATGGTTTAAATAGATCCCTAAACTACAGTCTTTGAGATCTGCACAGATGACTCCCTTCTTGGAGTAAGCATAAATTGGACCAGAAGAGAAGAGTTAATAATATAATACTTCAGATATTCCACTACAATATGAATTCCAAAGCCAATTAGTCAAGTTCCGAAAGCTATAATCACTAAGAGAAGAAACATATAAATCATAGCATCAGATCAAGAAAAGGTGTCACCTGTAAATCCTGAACAACTGTTGCTGGTGGCCGACTTGAACCATTTGTTGGGATAAATTACGCAGCAAAGGTAGAACCCTGGGAGGTATAAGAGTAGGAGGTGTGTAAACAACATTTTCTAAGTTCTTTTGGTGTCAGAATCTTTCTTGTTATCACCTCGCTTCGCAGGTGATGCTGACGGTCGCAATGAATCTGGCAGGTCATCGAAAAGGCGTTCAGGTTCCACCACCTCACTGAAGTTCAAACAACATGTAGAACACTTTTAACATTTCTTATTATAAGATAATCACCAAACATATTAGCATAATGCAGTATAATTTTAAAACCAACCTGTAGTTTGTTAATAGATTTCTAAACTGATCTTTTAATTTTGAGATAGCTTTTGTCAGCAAATTATTGGCATGGGTAAGTACACCGGCTGTACTTTTAAAACTTTTGTGGTTAGTGAAATACTGAATGTTGCTTCTCAGCTGATCAATTGCTTCAAGATAGCTCTGAAGATCCTCGTGTGGACCTCTCAGAATCTTTTCCTCTGCCTATAGCACATAAAAATTAGTACAAACATCAGGCATTTACAATCCAAACAACATCTCATTTCCAAATTATATGGTATAATCGAGAAAATAAAAACTAAATTTGAAAATCAACTTGTGTTTGGCCGCAGAATAATACGAAATTATTCATCACGTTTAAAATTTAGAATTTGTCTTCTAACTCAAAGCGATTATTCTTCCTTTCTAGAATGAAATATTATCTATATCGTGAACACCAAATAGATCCAATAAACAGATAATAATTAGGCTTATTTTATTAATACTATAAACAATCAGCGATGAAATAACCAGAATTATTATCATGGTAACCATACAATGTCCAGAAGCGTCCAAAGAAATAATACAGAGAATAACATGTTGGGGCTCAAGCATGCAAGGGTCATTGGCATTTCAATAATAGGTATGGGAAATATATACAGAACCTTGGCAAGTTTCTTCTCCTTGCGAGCTTGTCGCTCCCTCTCATCATATTCTTGGTTTTCCTTCTCAACCAATCGAAGGTGATTCCAGATCTGTAATCCAAAAACTCCAATCAACAGATCCCAATTTCTCGGTGATTAGTGCAATGATACATGAAATAAAGAAACGAGTACAGGATTTTCATGCATATTATTTTAGGTTTATACAACGAGAAGGGAACAAGATAACCCATCTTTTAGCAACTGATTGGAGTTTAGGGTCGACAGAACAAATTAGAGATAAAGAAACCCTAAGTAAGTAGAATCTCGAGCCTTCAAAGACCGAAGTTGGATTGATCCACCGTAGAGAAACTTTCAAACATGGTCTCTTCCTAGTATTTCAGATCTATCTTCTTTTCTATTTTTCTTTTGCCGAAGAGCTCTCATCGTCTATTTTTAGAGGAAGCAAGGGAATGAAAAGCCAGCTCCCACAATTTCTATTTTTTAGGCAGTATTTATTTTTCAGCAAAACTCATTTATTATTTTTCCTTTGTTCGAAACGGTTGTGGTGAACAACTGGATCGTATTTATTTAATTCAATAAAACCACTGGCTTTTCCTTTTTGTTCAAAAAAATAATGTAGTAATTTTTTAATATTTATATATATGTCTTATATTATACGAGATGAACAAATGTAAATCAACAAACACTCATTTCAAAATGCCATGATCCATTCCATTATTCTGCAAATATCAAAATAATTAATAAAAGACAATTGTGTTCTCAATTTAAAGAATGTATTTACAACATAAAGTTGCTAGCAATAGGGGCTCCAACTAAAGCACGAGTCTATAACGGCGTTTGTATAAAAACGCCACTAAAGCATGAGTGTATAGCGGTGTTTGTAAAAAAATCCACTAAAGTTAGAGTCTATAGCGACGTTTGTATAAAAACGCCACTAAAGGATAAGTCTATAGCGGCGTTTGTATTAAAATGCCACTAAAGTATGAGTCTTTAGCGACGTTTACATAAAAATGCCACTAAAGTACGAGTCTTTAGCGGCGTTTGTATAAAAACGCCACTAAAATACGACTATATAGCGGCGTTTGTATTAAAAACGCCACTAAAGAACGAGTCTTTAGCGTCGTTTGTATAAAAATACCACTAAAGTACAAGTCTATAGCGGCGTTTGTATAAAAACGTCGCTAAAGTACAGTCTTTATCGGCGTTTGTCTTAAAAATGCCATTAAAGTATGAGTATTTAGCGGCGTTTGTTCTAAAAATGCTGCTAAAGTACAGTCTTTAGCGGCTTTTGTTCTAAAAACGCCGCTAAAAATGCCGCTATAAACCCATTTTGCTGTAGTGAATCCAAAATAACAATTCATTCAAAAAGTACAAAAAATTACTATTATTGAAAAACAATTACAATTGTTCTCGAGAAGCTTTCATTCATTGAAATTGTTTCATGATTACTTCATCGACGATTTGGAGAAAAACATCTCCCTTGATGCATCAACTTGGCTCTCGATCTCCATCTCCCTTGATGCAAATTCTTGCTCGGTTTGGGTTGTTGAAGGTTGATTTGGTGATGAGACACAAATTGACACTTGGGAAGAACTTGAATCCTTTTTAGACTTTTGAATAAACCAATCCAACGTTCCATTATTCTTCTTTCGTTTAGGTTTAATCTCTTCATCATTCATCTTCTCACTACTAAAATTACACAATTTACAAATTACAATAATTATTAATTAGAAAAATATTCATAATTTAAATTACACAAATTTAATATAATTTTTTTCTCATCCTCAAAAATACATATTCATAATTTCATTTTCATGTATCACAATTCAATATTCAAATATTCTTCACAAAAATGGCCAAAATCTATCAAATTGAATCTAAAATTTAATTTAATCTCTTAATTTAACTCACTCAAATTAAAAAAATAAATTTTAAAATTTTAAAAACTAAAAAATAAATTTAACTTGCAGGAAACTTAGAGAGGAAGTTCACCGGTGAATAACGCTGATATGTTGGTTCAGACTAAAGCAAAATGAGAAAGTGAAGAAATAAAACAGAAGCTTGGCAGATTGTAAATTTTTATTGAAGAAAAACAAAATAGAAGCTTTGGAATTGAAAATAAGAAAAGTGAAAAATTAAAAGGGTGAAGAAATGATGATGTAAAAGCTAAAAATAAATAATATTTTAATCATTATAAGTTTCTCACTCACGTTAAACAACATAACACCCAAAAAATAGTTGTGCATCATTGAAGAAAGGATGATGTCAAATTTAAAAGAAAATAATATTTGAATCAATACAAACTCTCATGCACCTTAAACAACGCAACACCTAAAAATTGGGTATGCAAAATTTTCTTTTCTAATATTATACATTAGCTATTGATAACTTTTCAAAGAAAATGGGTATGTATTTGCTACCTATAGGGCCACGTGGGTCTGCCCCTACGACGGGATAATGATGTATTCAAGTGGGATGACGATGGAGACAGATACGTGAATTCGAAAGACATCAATCACTACATGTAATAACTCTCACCAAGAAACATGTGAAGTCGAAAAAGTTGTAACATACACACAACATGTAGATATAGTTGTTCGAATTGGCTAAACTCACGATATAATGCACTCAAAATAAATAATTCACAATCTAATGCACTCCCTATATTATTTGCTGAAATAGGGCGAAATCAACAGTGTGGCCGTAGGTCGCCATGCCTTCCGGGCGACCTACTACGTTGCCTAGCTTTCCGGGAGCTGCACAGAGATAATGGACGTCTGCATGGCACATGCACGTCCCCAACAGGTCGCCATGCATTCCCCAACACCCCTACAAGGTCGCCAAGCACTCCCAGCGACCTACAAGGTCGCCATGCACTCCCAGCGGCGACCAAGCTTCACGTGCTCCCCTCTGCTCCCGTGCTCCCCTCCTGCTCCCGCTGCATGCCTGCAGCGTGAAATCACCTGCTTCATGCAGCAATGCATGCATGTGAAGCCGTGAATTATTGGTTCAATTATTGAACCATTGCAGCGTGAAATCAGCTGGTGCAATTGTACAATTATTGGTGAAATAATTGAGGCAGCCGGTGACATTATTGGTGAAATAATTGAGGCAGCCGTGACCTAATTATATATGGGGTGTGCATTATTGTGAGAACATCAAACAAAGAAAGGGAGAAGAGATTGCAGCAGAAGAAAGGGAGAAGAAATTGCAGCCGAGAAAGAAAGAAAGGGAGAAAGGAAAGGAAGAAGAAGAAAGGGAGATAAGGCTCTTGTGAGGTAATTTTTTTATTTAAATTAGTTTATTATTATAAATGTTTAGTTTGTTAGTTTAGGGTTTATTGTAAAACAAAAACCAGTTAATTAGTTTGTTAATTTAGGGTTATATGATTGTTAGTTTAAGTTTTATTATACATAAATAAAAAATTATTTAATTAGTATGTTTGATAGTTATATAGTTAAAAAAATTAATTAGTTTGTTTTGTTAATCGTTAGTTATATAAAAAATTATTTAATTAGTTGTGGTAGTTAAATAGTTAAGTTATATTTGTTTGTTGAATTTATATTATATAAAAAATTAGTTAGTAAGTTTATTAGTAGTATATTACAATGAAAAAATAGTTTATTAGTTTTAGTTATATAAAAGAATATTTTATTAGTTGTTTAATGGTTTAGCGTTTACGTTTAACTTATATTTTAAAAGTTTAGTTTGTTAGTATTAGTTTATTATATTATAAGTTATTATATTAAAGTTTAGTGTTGTAAATTAGTTAGTTAGTTTATATTAGATTATATTAAATATTTTTTAAATATTGTTGTTTAATTTTTTTTACAGATTCATCCAATTGCTGACCAAATTCCACTGTTGAGGCTTGACAATGAACATATTTCAAGTCATTTGGGAATAATGGTGAATAAAATATTTGTTTAATGAATTATAATTAATAAATATTTGAATATTATTTTATGATTGTGATAAATATTTTGAAATATTTAATTGCAGGAGGACGAGCAGCGAGTCCTTCGTCTTCGGCTACATAAAGTGCCCAAGCCACACATATTGATAGAAGAAAACTTGCAGGAGGTTGGATTTTGGTATGTAACATTTATGCGAGATTACAAGTTGGTCCCAGGTTTGATCAGTGCCTTGATTGAGCGTTGGAGACCAGAAACGCACACGTTTTATTTGCCGTGTGGCGAATGTACGATAACTCTGGAGGATGTGGCATTGCAACTCGGGGTCCAAACAAATGGGATGCCAGTGGTAATGTCACATGAGTTTAATAATGTGGCACAACTTTGTAGCTTGTTTCTTGGGAAAACGCCCGTACCACCAGAGTGTAAAGGGTGGCGTGTGAGGTTGTCATGGTTGAAGAATGAATTTCAGCTTCAACCAAATAGTACAGAGCACGAAATTATATATACAACACGAGCATATATATTACAGTTAATTGGGGGTATTTTAATGCCGGATAAATCCGGTAGTTATGTTCACACTCAATATCTTCTTTTTTTAAGAAATTTTGAGAATAGTAGGCAATATAGCTGGGGATCGGCGATATTGGCGTTCTTGTATCGTGAGATGTGCAAGGCGTCATTAGTCGTGAATGATAATAATACAGGAGAAATCGGTGGATGTCTGTTGTTGCTACAGTCATGGGCTTGGCATAAACTTCCGTTTCTGACACCAATTAGTCGGACTGCGGTTGACTTTCCGCTTGTCGGAAGGTAATATGAATTCTCTATTTTAATATAAAATATTAATTATAAAATAAAAATGACCATATTTTTGTTTTGATTGATATACAGATGGAGGCATAAAATTGAAGGCACGGGGTTGGTGCACAACAATATTAAAGAGTTCAGGCTGAAGATCGACATTAAGGCAAAAAAGGAGGTATGTATAATCTGTTATTTTTAATTATTATTTAAATTAACTATATTATTTGATTTAAATAAATTTTATTGTTTTTGTAATTTTACAGTTTAATTGGAGACCATACATGAATGAAGAAATACTTGCGTTGATACCGCACAATATTTTAGATGGGTTTCAATATTGGTGTGATGTTACACCATTGATCAATTTTGCTTTTGTTGAGATCTAATTT